TTACCCGACACAAAAAGTTTTGCTCCACACAAAAAGTCGTTTACTTGCCAGCTAGCAAAATATCCGTGAACGTATCCGAGAATATACAAAAACAAAAAAATCCGTATAAAAATCTAATATTTCTTCCGTTTTCCGATTACACTTTCAGCCGTTTTCCGCTTATGTTTTCCACTGTAATGAAATTTTTCTAATTAGATTTTCGTTAAATTAGCTTTTGTCCTGAACTTCACAAATGCTTTTTCATAGTTACTGAAAAACCAAACCAGGAAAAAATGCATTCATTGCAATTTTATTTAAAAAATGCTTTTAAAGACCTTCTGGGAGCTACTAAGTATTAGCATTCGCCTCTGCACACTCAGCTAGAGTTAGAACATGCATGTACATAAATGACAGCATGTTGATTTTTTTTTTTTAATATTCGTAAGGTTTTTCGAGCTAATTTTTTTTGTTATTTTTCCATAAAAATACCGTTCAAGCTTTAACCAAACCATATTCAAAGTTTAGCAAAACTTTATACAAAGTTTAGCAAAATTCAACAAATTTTAAACTTTTTAATTTGAATCTCTAGGATACTTTTGAGTATGCAGTTTTATGGCCCATACAAACTAGACTAAAATACGACAAATTGACAGATCTGGCGCGCAAATATTTGAGCGCTCCTCCCGCTAGCGTTCCAAGTGAGCAATTTATCAGTGCAGTGGGCCTTATATACGAGCCTCTAAGAAATCGCCTCATGGGAGAAAAGGCAGAAAAATATCTCTTTTTGAAATATAACACCGTGCGACAGTAAATTTTACACACGAAAAAATCAATATATTCACAAAACTGGGGGCCAAATATAGTAAAACTGCGTTTTTAGAATTGGCATTTCTAGAATTGATTAAATAATAAATAATTATTCAAAAGTTTATATAGAGGGCAAAAATGTTTTTGATTAAATTTTTTATTCTTTGAGTATATAAATAGAAATTTTTGGGATTAAGAAAGTATAAGTTTTCTGGTATCCTTTACAAAGATAAAATTTTTTTAAAAATCGGTTTGTAATTTTCTTGTTTGAAATATTTTTTTTTTATAAAAAAAGGAATTTTTTGCCTCAAGTGCTTTTTCTTAAATTTTTATATACGAAGTATTCACATATGCACACCAGAAGAAAGAGTATTTAATCGCCTTTACATCGATACGATCGGTTAGTAATTTTTTGTTATTTTTTTTTATAAACAAAACTTTTTAAAACTCAGTTCAAAATTGTTTGAAATATAAGATTTGTAATTTTTCGAAGACCCGACCTTTGTCCCCTTATATCACCTGTAATATAAGTTAGCAAAACCATTTAAATAAGAGCAAAAGCCGGTCTACGAATAAAAAATAATTTTTTACCAAAGATCCTATTTCGAACTTCGAAGGTCCATATCTCGATTTCGGAGGCTAACTTAGAAAAACGGAGAAATAACTTTTTTACCTATGACTCAATCTCTTAAAACAACGTGGTTTGGTCCAATACCCAGCGGAGTGCTGTACAGTGTAGTGATTCTAGTATCTTCATTTATGTATATTGTAACAGAGCCGCGGGTTCAGGCTAGTATCTTATAAAGAGAAGTGTAAAATATTTTTATCTAAATCTAATAAAGTTAGAAGGACGAAATTCGAGGATGTGGTAGTTTACATATTAGTCCTTGGCATATATTTTTTTCAAAAATAAATATTGGAAATTTCCAAGGATATTCAAGGATAAAGTTTAAGAATTACATTTTCAACATTTATTCGTCCTGATGCTACAAAAAATTAAATTTTTTTAAATTCTACAGAATTTTTCCTTTTAACTGATACCCATATTGTTACTCTACAATGCACCAAATCTTTTAAATAATTTTTTTTTATTCAATCATATCCTGGAAATTCCGAAGTCCTTTAAAAAAATCCTGACGTCAGAGAGAAAAATTAAAAACGCAGTTATACTATATTTGGCTCCTAGTTTTGTGAATATATTAGTTTTTTCGTGTGTTTTAAACATCTGTCTGTGTTTTTATTAAAAAAAAAAAATTAATTGGGATAAACAAAAAAAAATCTTAAAACTTGTCAACATGTGGTGCGTTTATAATTTTGACACGAGGTGTATACATATCGGGGGCTTATATTGAATACCCTCTATCTGCACTTCTTACAAAAATGGGGTTCTAATATAAAAATCCACCGAAGATATTAATGTCGACCTTGTACAACGCTTGACAGAAGAATTTACTTTTAAATTGCAAAGTCAAAATCAACATCAGCGCTGACTGATAGCTCCCAGATGGGTTCTAACATCACAAAGTAGATTTTGTGAAAAATGCAGATAGAGGGTATTGAATATATGTAAGCCCTCGATTTGTATTTGTATAACTACGGCTACCCACTAAGAACTGTAGCTCTTAAAGAATTTTTACTTGCAGTATAGATAAATGCACGTACTACATACAATACAAAAAAAAAAACCAAAACGTGTCAGTTTTTAAATTTATTCAGCAAAAATGTTCAGCTCGATGTTCTCTCTAAAAAAATATGCCCAAGTTTTTTGTTGCAAAAATTGTGTTCGGACCGTGTTACTTTATAACTTTGAGCTTCAAGAGAAACTGCAACATTTTGGCGAGGCGCTCCTACTTCTTTGAGTGTTTACCATTTAGCTTCCCTGAGGTGATTTCGAAGCCATGGACAATATCCACTTAATTGCTGATTATGCCAAAGCTATAATCACATCAAAGTGTTGTTTCGTATGTACATACTTGGGTTGAATTATACGGCATAATACGTCTCAAAACCATCCCATAACCCATCCGCCGGGGAGAACTTACTTTTTTTTTATTTATGTTTTATCGCTTTTGTCGAACAGAGAAAAAAAAATTGTTTACACCAAAATTGCTCACACTATCATTGATATATGTACATACATACACATACATAGTAGTAGCGCCTACATCATGCACTACAAATAAATATTGTATGTTCATAGATATATCATTATATTGCGCTCTTATTGATTAAGAGCGCCTAGCTAGACAAGCTGCTCGTGAAATGGAGTGGATTAATTTCCCTTGATTTAATGATTTATTTAAGAAGTATGTATGTATGTATGGTTATGGTTAGGTGGTTGTATGTACATATGTATGTATGTGTGTGTATACATATATAGCTGCATGGCTGGCGCTCCCAGCTGACCGCCAAAGAGCGTGGGATATTTTCCATTCGGCACCAGCCCTCTGCATCGGTATTCGTTAGCCAAGGGGGTGGTGGGTGGGGGAGCTTTTAGCTAGCCATTCGGCATACTTCGTTGTCTCACTTTTATGATACATTGCGGCTCGTTGGCCGACTGACTGATAACTTGTTCGCTTGGCCGACTTTTGCTCTATGAGCTGCTGTGTGTCTCAGTGTATCTTTGTCGTGTTTTGCGTTCGGTTTGAAATGTTTTCGCGGTTGTGGCGTTTGCGTTTTTACTTATATGTAGCGCGCAATTGAAAACTAGAAAAAAGCAATAGGCACTAAAAAAATTATAAATACACAAACATCTTTAGAAATAATACAAGAAAAGGTTCGAAATCAAATCAGGTTATATGTAGTGTTTGCCAATATTTGTATGTATATACATATCTATATATAATTTCATTGCTTAAAGCGGTGGAGCGCTGTTGGTGACGATGGCAATCGCGCAGAGTTCGCTATAATGTCGATGTAAAAATGAAAAATTTAACAATATATAATAAATTTAAAATCCGTGCTGTTATTGCTAATATGGCGTATTGTCATTGTTGGTGTAATTACATATATGTATCTATATAATAATGGATATAATTTGCATCAAGTGTCAATCAATTAGACGAATCCAAAAGTTCAAAAATTATCACCTTGCCTGAAAAAATGCTGAATTCTCTTCGTTTCCACAGAGCTTAAGCAACACCCCTCCGCCTCTCATTTCTCGCATGTTCTTGGCCGTGATGGTGGTTGTGGTGGTGCGGGGTTTGGGATACACTTTACTTCAAGGCCTTTACGCTCGTCCTCCATTAATCACTTCGCAGTTAAAACCACCTCCCCAAAGCCCAACGAACATAGCAAAGCAAATACGAGAAAAGTAGAATATTAAAAATAAAATCGAATAAAGCAAACAAAGTGATAAAGCGAAACCGAACGTGGATATGTGTGCGCGCGTGTGTGTGTGCACAACTGGATTGAAGTGTGTGCGCTTTTCGTATTGTACAAATATGAACATACATACATACATACATACATATGTATGTATGTATATCGCTCATTTAATAAAAGATCATCGCAACTCAAAACGCAGAATTTCTCAGGAGACGCGCTTAAAGTTTTCAATCCACTTTCAAAATGCAGGAAATATAAATGCATGTGGCAACTAGGCAAGATTTTAGCATGAAATTTCTAAATAATATGATATAATATATTTATTATGTATATGTAATTCTGCAAAGTTAGCTAAAAAATTGCATGTTTTGAGTTGTGACGGTCTTTTAGTAAAAGAGCAAAATGTAAACATGTTTTTCGTACGTGTGCTCGCTGGTGTATTGAAAAAGTCGTCGTTTGAAATCGTAAAAAAATACCATAGAAGAATATTCCGCACGTAAATACATTGAAGAGAATACTCTAAATTAAATCGAGTCGCAATCATTCCGACTTACGCCATTTCAATTGAGAAGGGAACCCTTTGTTGCTCATACGCCATGCTTGCCCGCGTAATTATATGCTTACGTAGTGTTTTGCATTTGTGGACATATGTATATACATACGTACATACATATTTAAGAATGTCAAAACATGAATGCAGCTCTGTGCTCCCGTATATATAAATACATTCATACAGTTATACACATATGTATGTACATACATACATATACATAAATATATCAGTGTGTGTAACTGTATATAGAATTAATATCTGCATCAGCGTTGCCACTGACGACAAAATACTTACCATCCACTTGAAAAAAAAAATTTGCCAAATCTGGAAAATATCTACCAATAACTTTTTTGACGGTAATCATTATGAGTAAACTAATTTAAATCAACATTTAATCACTATTTTATGATTTTTATTTTTTTCGCTTAAAAATAATTATTATTGTGTACTTTATTTTTCGCTCAACGGAAATAATTATTATTTGGTTTTTATTTTTTCGATCACAAGTAATGATTATTTTATGATTTTTATTATTTCGCTCAGAGATAGAAACTTTATTGAGTTTTATCTTTCCAGTTGAAAATACTGATTATTTTTAAAATTGAAAATTCCATACACATGCAATCTACTGAAATTTTGACATGCAAATTTTGGTACTTAATCCTTTTATTAGGGTGTCGCTACCTCTGAAAAGGATACGTTGGAAATCGCGCCGGTATAGTTTTTGAGTTGTTTGAATGATCATTATTCTTAAGTGGAAAAATAAAATTTGATGATAATTATTATCTTTGAGCGAAAAAATAAAAATCATAAAATAATCATTGTTTTTGATAGAAAAAATAAAAATCAAATAATAATACTTTCGTTTGAGCGAAAAAATAAAAATCATAAAATAATCATTGTTTTTGATAGAAAAAATAAAAATCAAATAATAATACTTTCGTTTGAGCGAAAAAATAAAAATTCAATAATTAATTATTATTAATTATTATTTTGCACATTTATAGATTAAACTTGAAACATGAAAATCATTGTAAGTTACAGTAGGACGCACGAACACAAATACGTGAGTATAGTTAAAATTGCTTTACTTACGATTATTTTCCGTCCCTGATAAAAATTATAGTTTCGTTATATTTTTTTTTTAGTTATTTCAATAAAAATTAAAAATTAATATGGAACTCTTTATTTATTCCTTCAACCAGAAGTGAAAATTATAAAACTTAAGGCAACAACGAAACTTCATCATTTGAAAAAGCTTCAACTGGAGTTATCATAGACAAATACAGTGACTCAAAAATGCTAGGAGATTTTTTTAATATTCACAATGTTTTTCAAGTCAATATTTTTTTGTTAGTTTCTGTATATGAACATTCAAGCTACATAGCCCTAGCTGAGAGGGATTTTTAAGTCCGGCGCCCGAGTTTACTCTCGACGGCTCTGACAGAGAATAAAACCCTAACAAACTCATTTTCTTCAAGCACTTGTTTTGCAAAAATTTGAATACAAGTTTTCGCGTATTCCAAGCTAAAATAAGTACATATAAACAAATAAAAGGAAAGTGGGTGGTTCGATCTTTTGGAATACGATGCCCCTTTAGTTGTTCTTGCTTGTTGCATCAAAATATAATATTTTAGGAGAAGTTGACTTAGCAACAATTCACTCTAAGCTAGCGATTATAACTACGCAACATTTAGAAAAATTCAAAAAATATTGGTCTAAATTTCGAATTATTTACTGTGAACTTTTAGAACATTTTTGGCGATGCAGTTTTATAGCCAATGGAGTTTAAGTATAACCAACAATGTACAGTTCAAAATGCCGTTGATTTAATTTTTTTTTTTAATTTTTAACGCCGGTCTTTTGTGTTTTTTTTTTTCATTAAACAGTTGCCACTTATAAAAACTTTCGTTGATTTTTTTTTAATTTTTTGCGAATAATCATAGTGTGCACTTACATATGTACCTGCCCATTTTTTCTTTTTAACCGACTTTGCAAAAAGGAGGAGGTTATCAATTCGTCGCAATATATATATTATTTTATGTATTTTACCGCATATCTTTGGACCACCTCAACCGATTTCGATAATTATTTTTCTATCAGAAAGGTGGCGCCATACAAATTTACTGGTTTCGATTCGATCATTGGATTATGAGGAAATTAACGGTACTACTAAGCGAAATGGGTTTTGAATGAAGCGTTCAAAAATTAATGCAATAAAGTAGATTACACTTTTGTAAAGAAATTTATAATATATGTACATACATAAACATTACGAAAAAATAAAACGGATTGAAAACTTTTATTTGTTTTTCAAACAAAATACTTTAACAAAAATCTACCTAAATGGAAAAAAATTTATATTTTTACCAACTAAAATTTTTTCGGCAAATTTTGGTGATAATTTACCAAAGTGGCAACGCTGGTCTGCTAGTATTTGGGAGAGCAAATTTATAAAAGTCCGAGCATTTTTAGAAAGCTCTCTGCTTTACATATACATACATACTTACTAAAAGTGTTTTTTTGTGTTACTTTTTTCGTTCACATCGTTCCTCTCTTTTTACACTTTTCTGTTTGAATGTTCGAGTATGTTTTGAGTTATGTTTTGATTACAACTACGACAAGTTTGGCTGTTTACAATCTGCCTACATCTGTATTATTGTATGTACCTACATATGTATGTATGTATTTATACTTATTTATGTGCTTACTTTTGTACCTTAAGCAAAATACAATAAATTTATATACATACATATGTGCATAAGTAGGTATAAGTATTATTGTGGGTCGCAAATTGTATTCCTTTTAAATCCTATTAACTATAATAGTGACGAGATGCTTTTATTAGGTCTCATTTATAAAATATTTTAAATGCAAAAGCTCCGAATGACACAGAGCACATTGGTCGAATAAGACGAACAAACTCAGGGTTTAGGAAACGGTTTTTTATTAGAGGATTAATCCGGTAACCGAAATCTTAATTGTATCAGCTCTTCAATATAGAGCTAGTGTGTTCTGTTGATTATGGCACCCCGGACTTACTGAATGATAGTTTGCATCTTTACAGCAAAATATTTAAACTTTAATATCTTCAATTAAAATTGATTTTTGAATCGTTATATCTCGGAAACGGTGGCTCTTAGGACCAAAAGTATTAAGACATTTGTTATAGATAATTATCTGATCTACAATTTTTGTCTAAACTAATTTTATGATAAACTTACCATTTTGCTGAAAATCGCGAAAACCCCGTTTTTGTGATTTTTGACCCCGAGTAACTTTTTTCCAGGTATCGGATCGATGAGGACTTTTTAGATTTCATTTCTGATGGTGTCTTGAACAATCGTACCAATTTTCAGCTGGTTAGGAATTTTTGTAACCTCGAATGTCTAAATTGACCGGACTAGTACGACATGTTCACTTTTTTTCTGGAGAATTGATGAAAGCAAGGTTTTCTGAATATCTGGATTGTATAAGGAAAAGTAATTTCTCGGTTTTCCCACATTGGCGATTTTAAGCATTTAAAATAATCGAAATTGATTAAAATGCAAATATTTTTGCATTCAAATGACCTTTCTGGGGGTCCGAAGAATCTGAATTTGCTATTTATTTTTAGCAAAAATGGCCGCTAGGGTGCGCTTTAATATTAAAAAATATGGAAGAGACTTGAAGAAAAAATACGCAAACAATCTTTCTCAAAAATGTTTCTTCATGTTTATATGCACCAAAGTGCACCGCAACATCATCAAATAACTTTTATTTTACCCCATAGAAATTCGGACCAGCCTAATAAACATACATACATACACACGTTATGTATGTTTTGCAAATTTTTAGCATGCTGCAAATTACAGCCGATAGTTTGAACAGCATTTTTTTTGGTTTACTGCCGAAGCGAATATTAATAATATGTATACTATATACATATGTATGTATATGTAAGTACATTTGTATATACATATATGCACATATATATGCGAAATAAATTTATTAACTTAGGCCAAGAAATTGTTTTCAAGTGTATGTATTTTATCTTGACTAGCTTCGGTCATCGAATGAGAATAATAAATAAAGCAAAGTCCGCAAGGGTGACGTTAACTGTATTTTTTTTTATGTACATAAAAAGGGCTATTGCAAAAACTGAATAACCACGGCAAAAAAGAAAAAAGAAACCCAAACAAACAATATAACTGTATATGGAAATGTATGTATGTATATATAAATAAAGTAAGCACTATAAATAGATCGTACTATTTACTGTGATGTTATGAATTTATATGCACATTTTTGTAAATATAAAAATAAATGAAATATTGTTGAGCTAAAGAAATGCCTATTCAAAGAGAATAAATAAAATTATGTAAGCAAAACTTAAATTGAAAAACATTTTCATAAAAAAAAAATCAAAACAAAACGTAAATGAGCGTAAATTTTTAAATTGTCATCGTAGGCGTGCGTGAGCGTTAACCAAATTCTTTATCGCGTTCATACTAAAAAAAAAAAAAATCGCGCTTCACACGTTTTACTAAGTGCTTGGCCGAACTTCTGCTCCAATTTGCGGTGTGCGCCTTAATAATTCCACGCAAATGGAGTGACGTACAGTTTTCAACCTCCTCTTTACGTATAATGTCTTTTTATTAGAAACTATTTCATGGCATAAAAAATGTTCGGAAGTTTGCTTGGCAAAAAAAAAATCAATAGGGGTATTCACCAACTGAGCAAGTGAGGGTTATGTAAAACAATATTTTCATATCAAATGAATATTTGGAATAAAAAATTGCGCAATTTTTTATTACTGCCGCGCTTTTTTTTATGTAAAACAGTATTAATATAAAGTGTAATAAAAAATCCACGACTTCTTTCATTGTTTTGATCATCTGGCAGCACCAACATCTGCGTTCATTTGCAACCCTTATATTATAAATTATTTATTGTTATTACTAATAAATTACTATTAAATTTGATTATAAAACTACAAAAAAATTATGAGCTAGATTTTTAGCCAGTATCCGGCCTGATAGTCGAATAACAGAAAAAAACGGCCGCATAAGCTCTGGCATACGGGCAACGTTATCTTTTACTTTGCGGATGTGATGTCCCATCTGCTCAATGAAAGCAAATACATAGCACGACCCTCTGAGATTGAGGGCAACATTAGTCCACATGTAAAATTATTAAAACTAGAGTACTCGGCGAACTTGATCTCGCCCAAAATTTTTTTTTGGTTGAAACATTTTGGTGCAACACTTTCACCAACTATTCACTTAAGAGCTTCCAGTGGTGACACCTTTATTTGCTCTGATTATGGAAGCTATGAAAATCACTTTTTTCCAAATTTTATTTTCGGAATTTTTTT